AAATTCATTTTTGGGCAGTCATTTCTGGAATTTGTGCAATCTAAAAAACGTTTTGTTAAATTTTTGTTTCCTTAAGAATGTTGAAGGCATATACGGTTCACTTTTTGGCACTTGAGTCACTTTGCCGATGTACTTCGAAGACGAGCTTTCGCTACAGTTTTACACGCATATTTCTAGAAATGGCAGCTCGTGGTCGCTACGCTAGAGTGGACCAGGTATATCGAGAAAGGTTGATTGAGGCCTTCGAGGGAAACGAGCAAGACTACCTTGAGCTTGCGGTCAATTTGAACATCAACAAGTCCACAGCCAGATCAATTGTTGCAACATATTTGAGGACTGGAAGGCAAGAGACGCTGGCAAGAGGAGGAGCAACCCACAGCAAGATGAATGATGACATGCGAAACCATCTGCAAGAAATCCTTGACGCTAATCCCGTCTTGACACTTCAACAAATGAAGGCTAGTTTGAGTGAGCATCTGCCAGAGAAGCCCCAGGTTTCTACTGCCACCATAGCCAGGGCCTTGGATGGGATGATGATTACACTGAAACTAGTGGAGGACATCCCTGATGCAAGAAATTCCCCTGAAGTTCTTGATCAACGCGTCCAGTATGGTGAGTGGTTCCTGCAGCATGGTGTTCTGGCGCATCTAGTCTTCATTGACGAGACAGGTTATAACGTCTGGACTCGACGCTCCCAGGGTAGAGCTCCACGTGGGATCGCTGCAAGACGAGTCGTCGACAGACAACGAGGGAGAAATTGCAATGTCACCTTCGCTGATTCTAGTGAAGTAGGCTTGGTGCACCACCGATTCGCATTCAAAACTGTGACGCGAGAGAGATTCGAGGAGTTTCTTGCGGACACAATTCAAGAGTGTGATGCAGTTTTCCCAGACGACGAACCCATTTACCTCATATACGACAATGCGAGGCCTCACGTGCGAGCCCAACTCCCTGAAGGTGCCAACCCAATGATCCAGCTGAAGCGCCTCCCTCCCTACTCCTCATTCCTGAACAGCACGGAGATGGCACACTCTGCATTCAAGGCTGCAGTTAAACGCATCCTTGGGTTACCTGAGTGGCAACAACGTGTCGGAGACAGACAGGCTGCCCAGCAAGCAGGAATGAACATGCAGCAGTGGAGGTGCGATCTCCTTCAACAAGCAGCCATCCAGAGCGTTGATGTCATCACCCAAGTGAAGTGCATGCAGTGGTACAACCATACCCAAACATATATGCCAAGATGTCTGGCAAGCCAACAGATTGATGGTTGAGGAAGAAACAACATAAGCAATAAAAAAACAGGAAAAACATAAAGAAATACCCCATTCAAACACAATACAAAATAAGGTCTTGGTCAGTTAACCAATAAAGATCCCCCCCCCCAAAAAAAAAAGAATGAAGAAGAAAACAAAGAAGAAGAAAAAACCTCATTGGCCCCATGTAAAGTCTACTGGAAGCATAAATAAAGAAAACAAGGTTTGCCTGAATTAAAGTGAAGATACGAAACAGTTGCCTAGTACAGTTTATCTGTTTATTCGTATTTCTTTAGTCGTACTTATTTGAATTCTTTTTAAGTGAAATTGATTGCCTCTTTACGAAATTAAAAAAAAAATAAATCAGTAAAATATCCAGTCGAACCAGCTTTGCTAAATTGAATGATTGTGTGTCACGAAAAAGAATGACGATATGCTAAATTGAACACAGTGCTAAAGGAATTTGAATGCCTCAAAACGAAACTGAATGGCCGAATTCTAAATTTGAAACGCAGTAACAACTAGAGAGGCAAAATTGCTTCAATTCGAACGCACGAAAATTAAATTGGCTGCTCATTTGCCGAAATTGACCGAGAAAACCTATAATATTATCTACAATGTGATACGCTTTTTTACTGTAATTTTTAAAACAGGACTGCCAAATAAAATGGAAACTTGAAAATGATCGTGTAATAATTACCCCCATATTTATAATGGTGTTTCTTCGTAAGCCAGATGGGCTACTATTGGCCCTCGCTATGGAAACATCATGCATATGCATTGCAGTGGCTGCATATATGAATATTCGCTTGAAAACGTCTTAGTCAAGTCGTTAGACACAGACTGACCATGCCGCGCGTTAGTACATGACTTTTGCATGAATGGTTGTAGCGCTGACGTTGCATGAACGGCGGTGGTATGCGGATTTTGGCGCTGATCGATGACGGACATAAACCACTATAGTCTAACGACTTGTCATCAAGTCTACCATAGCGATTGCGGGCTGGAGTGGGGCCGAATTTGGTATAGGAGTAGCAAATTATATGACGTACGCAGGCAACATTGTGTATAACGTATACCGCATGAACCAACACGCACGTACAGTACATGTACGTGGGTAGGCTAGGCGTACAAGAGCCGTGGTCGAACCGACAAGAAAACCAAATTGGTTCTCAGCCACAAAGCGACATATCAAAGAGGCTTTTCCCTAAGACTCTGCCATGGTTGGTCACCCACCCATACCTACACATGAAAACATGGAGGGGACATTCGACATTGTGTCCCCCCTTACCAAATTCATGGGGGGGGGGGGGGACGTGTCCCCCCTGTCCCCCCCCCCCCGGATTTCCGCCCATTTGTCTGTTTAATGATTAAACAGACAAATGACATGCTAAAATAAAAATAAGGTTGTATTTATATCTTGTTTCCAAGAATGAAGGGACCGTCGGTACAAAGTTAAATTTCGTTCCACCCTGGCATCGTTGTTATCGTAAATGTCAACTGAACCGTTTCAGAGTCTGATCTGATATGAGTTGTTGCCCTCACAATCATGTACCATTTTACCCATGGGCAGTGAGAATAATTATTGAAGGAAACAAAATAGTCTACCTAAAGGAGAGGTACCCCTGTTAAGAGTCACTGATAATCAAGATCTGTAATCCTGCTGCGGCGCGTGCGCATGTGGAGGTTTTACTGTTTTCCCTTCCAAGATATAAAACAACTCTCGGTATGCGCCATACTCGTGCAAAATATTGGCTGATACCCATGTTTAAAAGTAAGCAAATAATTCTCTCAGGGGGATTACACAACGTCTTACCGTATTTTGGGCACTGAAGACTAAAGTTCGTTCCGAGCTACCAGAAGTTTAAGATTAGTTGAATTAAAATCTTGGATAGAATTTCTTTTTTGTATGTTTTTTGTTTGTTTTAAAGTTTGAACAACTTCTGCATACTCATGTTTATTACAATCAGGGGTAATTTTGTGGAGTCGTAAATTAAGTTAAGTAGCGTTGTTGCTATTTACACATACAGTCGCCATAATAAACCATCTATTAGTTCATATTATTTAGATGCAGTGATAACTAATCTCTATTTTTATATATCAGTAAGGAAATTCCAGAGAATACATTTGGCCTGTACTTTAGTGGCGGTTCTAAGGGGGGGGGGAGATGGGGGGGAGGGGGGCTAGGGGGAGGTTTCTAGGCCCCCCTAAAAAAAATGCATACAAAAAATGCACTAGGAAATTTGAGACTGTGACGTACTAGACTTGGCCAAGTCTGGGATGCGCTCGGTCAGTGCCTATATAGTAAATCCACTCACAGCGCATATCGCATACTTACAGTATATAACGCGCGCCCTCATGCGTCGAATCCGGACCATCATGTTAAAAACGTACATGTTCATGTTATTTTCAAGTGATGCAGCAACCCATTGCTAACTTTTGCACCACATGTATGCACATGCTCTGAAATACATGCACACACATGCAGTGACATGTACGTGTAATACGCGTGTTGTACAATGTACATACAGTGTGTGCGCATTGTTATACGGCACTGAAGTGGAATGCGCGCTGAAGTGTACCTTGTCGGGCAACTGGAAAGACGTAAACTAAGTGAATTTTGCTACTTTTTTAAAAATTAAGATACCGAATTAAAGTAATTCCGACTTGAGTCAAGTCTAGTGACGTACATGCATACGGTCTCGGACTAAATAAATAGTCGTGGGAAAGGTGCATTTGGACACTTTTAGTTTGCCTGATTGTAGGATTTTTATCAGCGCTCCCCAATGAAAGTATGGCACGAGCCCCCTCCTCCCCCACCTATTGATTTTCGGAGACCTAAGTGTCCGGAGAAAATAACCGGTCTACATTTCAGCACACCTACCTGAAACAAGTTCTGGATCCACCCTGCTACCCCCCCCCCTCAAAAAAGGTCTAGAACCGCGCCTGCTGTACTTGTCGAATTGGACCATATAGACAATTATTAAACATGTTTAACAAAAACACACACACACAAACACACACAACGTCGGTGCTACCTACATTATGTGGACGTCTTTTGTTCGGAAGTCCACACTGCGTATGTAAGACAAACTCACGCTTACATAGGCAAAGAAGTGGGGTACTTCCTTTGTTCTCCTGTACTAAAATTTTGCAACGTCGCACACTTATATCAAATGCTCTTATTTTAACCATAGTTTATTTCCTGGGCTGAAATTCGGACCTAATATCCCTTTTCTAAAACTCTTCCATTTGCGACATGGAAACCCACCTTGGAAATTCCTAGTTTTTGAGTAAAATCCATACATCTATATATTTCGTGAAAAACTTGTGGGCGTTCCTTGTGGGGTACCTCCCATTGTTCCGGTACCCCACAAGACAGTGTTTGTACACGCAAGAGAACACAAGGATTAGTTTTCTGTTGTGTGTGATATACACTGTAGGCCTACGCAGTGGCGTGGCCGGGGGGGGGGGGGGGGGGCTGGGGGGGGGACAGCCCCCCATGAAACCTTGTCGCCCCCACTGAGATTTTGAGTTTCTAAAAAAAATATCACTGATCTACATGACGCCCCCCATGAAATGTTTCAGCCCCCCCCCCCCCCGGCCGCCCCCCCCCCCCACCCCCACTACGCCACTGGGCCTACACCCTTATCATCACTAGGATGTCGAGGATGTGATTGGATAGCGCATCGTTTAAGTCAACAAGGTGTAAGCAGACGCATTGACAGTTTTATTTAGCGCAGAGCAGCCACTTCAGTTGGTGGCCTGACCTGCACCGTACCCGTGAGCGAGCGTAAACGGAGTAAGCAAGAACCGAAACGAATCTGTGAAACGTTTGACTATCTCTGAGTCATAATCAAGGTAAGTTGAGTCAAAAGTATAGAATGAAGGGACCTATGGGGTTACTCTTTTTTTATAAACTGCTTGCCCAGAATACATTTGATACCTTATTGATCCCACACTGTAAACCCCTTGGGCAAAATGGGTTAATATGTAGACCAGCGTTGGTCAACATATCAACAGGTTAATCTCTTGGGCAAATTTTCCCCAATTTTTTACCCAAATTGGGTAATTTCCAAACAATGTTGGGTTAAATTATATTGCCTAACACTAACAGTGTTTTATCCGTTATTTTTTACAGTGCAATCAAAGTTAGGAAAAGCCATCATATTTCATTTCAACATTTACAAAGAGCATAGGCTGTAATTTGGGGAGTGCACATCGTGCCTCGGCCCTTACTGCGTTAATCAACTCGCAAACAAAATTAAGCTTACTGTACAAACAAAAACACAAATCGAATTACTAAAAAATGGCGAATTTGAATTCACATTTAATAGACACGGATCCTTGGAATAACTGTTAGTCTTTTTGTACATGCCTTACATCCAACTGGCGAGCCTGTGCGGGTTGCGTGTCCTTTCGGAAAAAAAATGTACAGAACATACAGGGGACGAAGTTGGAAATGAAACACGCATCGCAATATCGGAACGCTTGCGCGTGGTTCAGGCAAGTCAAAATATCAATTTTTTTTTGGCTCTTTGTTTTCCATGAAAAGTGAATTTCGATTTTCAATTATTTAGCTTGACCCACCCACCCACAATTTGGAAAAGTAGTCGAAATTTTAAAACATTGAAAATTATGAATGGCCCCTTAGAGCATAAAACTTTGGTTACAGATTCCACGCAGAAGGTGAAACTATTAACATGTAACTTTTTTAATTGCAGGATTCAAATCAAGGAAAGACTCCGTCGGATCTGAAGCCGATGAACGAAGCTCGTCCATCTTTATTTGGTAAGCGATAGCAAGGTGCATAAACCATTTTTTCTTTTATATTTAAAAACAGACTGGGTTTAGCTGTCAATATTGATATGTTCTTCCATTGCACTTTTTTTGGATCCGGACTACATAATGCCCGCAATAGGCATTATTAAAGCCAAGACTTGGATTTGGATATGAAGTTGGATTTAGTCTGAGAGGCTTGTCACACAAAATGGAGTGTAATATTGTAAGATAGGGATATGAAGGCCCACATATTCTTGATCATATAACACCTGAATAAATCCCCGTCATTTGATTGGTGGATCGTTGATCACATGTCATTGAACTATTCGTACCAATACACAGCGCGCGCGTGGCGCGCTGCGCACAGTGCAATGGAAGTTCTATTGCACTGTGAATAGAATTTGCATTGCACGGTGTCACTGCTGCTGGTGGTAGCGCTGTTTTAAATCGAGATAAATTGAAAATGATTTTTCTTAACCTGTCGAACAGTTTGCATTAATATAAACATTTATATTTATACAATTTAAATAGTTTTTAACCTGAATAATTGGCAATTAAAAGTCTACCAATCAGATGACATTATTCAGGTGTTATATAAAACAAATAATAGAAACGTGCAATAGAAAGAATAATCGGTGACAGATGAAATGTCCATTCCACTCGGCTTCGCCTCGTGGAATGGAACATTTCATCTGTCACCTCATGAAATTATTCTTACCATTGCACTCACAAACATTCATTATTTGCAAATCATACAACACCTGAATAAATCCCCGTCATCTTATTGGTGGATCGTTGATCACATGTCATTGAATTATTCCTCCCAACGCACGGCGCGCATAGTGCAATGGATGCTCTACTGCAGGTTGAATAGAGCTCCATTGCACGATGTCACTGCTGCTGGTGGTTTGCTGTTTGAAATCGACATTATTTGAATGTGATGGTTCTCAACCTGTTAAACACTTTGCATAAATTTAATATGATAAACGTGTCGAACTTTTAAACAGTTTTCAACCTGAATAAATTGGCTATTAAAAGTCAACCAACCAGATGACAGGGTTTTAGTCAGGTGTTATATAAAACAAATATTACGCTTTGCCTCGTGGAATGGAACATTTCATCTGTCACCTCATGAATTTATTCTGATCATTGCACTCACAAACATTCATTATTTGTTTAGTCTCCATGGCCAAGCTGTCGAACGAATTGTAATTTGGCTAACTCCCAATGGTTATTAGAATTATTTTGAAGATAACTAAACTAAAGCTTGAGTCGGCTTTCTTACATGAAGTTTAAAACTAAATGATTTTTTACACAGGGTGTCTAAAAAAAAGCCCGAACCTTCAGAGCGTCCTAATTTTTACAGATTCTAAAAAACAAAAAAAGAAATTCAAAAATAGCTATGCATATTAAAAAAATATAGCTTATTAGCTTTTCAACAACGTGACGGTCTTTCCAATCGGGTAAATATTTATTGAGTTTCTGCCAATTACAAACAAGTACCACTTTTTCATTCTGATGTTTTGACCGAAACGGACCGAAACTTGCCTACCGTAACAAATAGTCTACCGAGTTGAGGGCAGAGACAGAAACGCTAGATAGACATCCAAGAAGTTAACCGAAATGTTCTTTTCAGGAATATCATTACTTCCTTAAGGATAATTGACCATTGTTGCAAAAAAAAAACCCACCCACATCAGGCAAAAAAAAAAGTCTCCGGTTTCTGGTATGCGCGTGCGTCGCCGTAGCCATGCGCGTCGGCAAAATGAAAAAGTTTTTTTTTCAATGAAAGATGATGTCTCAAAACCGCCAAACTCACTGTTTTGACTGGAATCCTGCTGCTGCACAATTTTAACGTGTTTTTTTTAATGGGGTTATGATCGAGAATAAGCTTTATGTGGCCTCTCTGGACTCCCATATATTTGCACTAAGTTTAGTCGGGCAACATTTGCAGTCATCAGCCGACATTTGAGGCAAAAAAATCAGGTAAATAAAAAAAAAGCCGCGTCGCTGCACTACTTTTTGGACAAGCTCCATACCAGAAACTGGAGACTTTTTGGGGGCCTAAACGAACAAAATAAAGAAAGAAAGATTGAAACATAAAAAAGCAAAACTACCCTCACCCCAAAACCACTTACATTCCTTACAAATGACAGTTGAAACCGTAGACAGATCGTAGACAGGTCGGGAAAAAGAAGACGCTTTTGTGGTTGGTTTTTTTAGACACTCTGTATTAAAGTTTAAGCAAGCGGAGGTACAAACTACAACTGACACAAACAATGGGCTGGAATCTTTGGGTAAATTTAACCAAAACTTTGGTTACTACAAAGTCTACCAATGTGGTTCCACCAACTTAAATATGGGGTCACAAATTTATTCCTATATACAGCTGCCTTGAATCAGAGTCTAGCACTAGTGCGGAACCTACTGACGAGAAAGCTCCAATAAAGACCAAGAGTTCAACGGGATAGACTATGGCACAGGGGGGAGCTCGCATACACGAAAAAAGGGAGATTCACTACCCGGACGGTACCCGCGTATGCTGGGAAAGAACGGAAGAAATATTTGGAGCGCCCGCAGGCAATCTACCGGTCGATAGTTCTGACGTCCTTGCACTCGAGGACGGAAGCCAGGTGGATTTGGAAAGTACTGTGCAAGAAGTGCTGAAGGAAATGCCTGAAATTAAAGGGAAAGCCAAGAAAACTGTCATGGCTAAATTAAAAAACGCATTTCATTCTTTAAAAAAGAACAAACATAAATTTAAAACGTTTTGGGATATTGTGAAAGAATTATTGCCTGTTGCCAGCATGGTGACACAATTAGCAATTAAAGACAAATAAAAGAGTGCTGTCTCCGGAAATGCGTATAACTGACAAACTCAGTCAAGCGGCTATTTCCCTCGCTTCTTGCACCTATACTTCGGGCCGGCTTTGCATTTGTATTGAAATAAAAGATGAGATTGGTAAAGCTAACCCTCATTTGAAAATCAGTTACCGAATGTATTTTAGTTTACGCTGACCATGTGATGTAATCACACGGTTTAGTTTGAATATCTGTTTTAATTGTATAAAGTGAGGAAGATATAAAAAGTAATTTGCAACGTTTCAACTAGGTCTACTCGTCACCTTTCTATGTGCTAAGTTTTATCCTAGAAGGCATACAGGCGCAGTTCTGGATAAAATTCTAAAAATATTATAGATTTCTGTAGCCTGCAGAAAAACTTTTGAATTATGTTTTTGAAACTGGTTGAGGAAAACAATTAGGGTGTTCCATAGGCAAAGTGGAAATATTAATGTAACAATCTCCGGACATGTTACTAAATTTATACAAGAAAACGTCAAGTGTAAGGCAGGGGCCTAAATCGGGGGATGGGTGTTGATACCCCCCCACACACACTTTTGACAAGGGGGTTGGGCTGTTGAATCATCCCCCCCCCCACACACACACCCAAATGTGTATTTGCCTGTAATTTGGGACCCCCTATTGTCCCTGTTTTGTTTGTACTTAACTTTTTAGGAAGATGTTTTGTACACGAATCCAAATTGGGGACCTCTTGTAAATTGGGGACCCTATTGTCCTCTATCATGCAGATACGAAATCATACGCATCCAGATTTTTCGAGGTATTTTTCGAACATCCCCCCAAATATTAATTAGCACTAAATAATAGATTGCTCACCTTTTAAAATACTCCGTCTTTTTGTAAGTGCGAGTATACAAATTGATCTATTGATCTATATTGTAATGTGGTGTCCGCCCCCACTGCTTTTTGAATGTCAACGGCTGGGCAATTTTCGGATTTACATCATTCCCCATCCCCCACTCGGCGGCACAGATTTAAGCCACTGTTGAAAGGAGTTAAAAACAATTTGTTTTCTAGTTTTTAATTTGTGACAAATTATATCCAGATTTCGCTTTCTCAAAGTATTCCACTGAGGTCACCAAGTAACGTCTTTAATTTTTATTGGCGTTTTCATGATGTGGAGTTGTTTTGTAATATCTCACGTTGTCGTAAGTTGAAACTAAAAAAAATTGAACAACATTTCAAAACATCAGCTTAGAGGTAGGGCTGTGGAAAGCAACAATGTGATGAAATAAAATAAGTGGAACATTGTAGTAACATTAACTCGTCAATAAAGTTGCTTTATTAAAATAAACAGAAGACAATTGTACATACATGTTATCTATCATATAAGACTGAATATGTGCATAATTTACGGGTTAAGTAAAAGGAATTCCAATTATGTACATTACAAGAAAGTGCAACCAGACAAAGAAGTACCCTTTTTAAAATGGCAACATTTATTTGTTTGATACCTTACCCATAACGCACAGTTCTGGGAAAAAAATATTATATACGAATATAATTGTATTTCAAAAATAGTGCGACGGTCATTTTTTGGGACATTACTGTATAGCTTGTATTTTATGAAACTGTACACGAAATATACTAATAAATTAGTGTTATGATGGTTTATAAACACATGCAAAGACCTTTGCAACCAACAAGTGGGTTTTAATCGTGATTTCTGACTCTGTGATAAGTTATTTCTTTGCACAAGTGGCAACAACGATTATCAGATCAGACTCTGAGACGGTTCTGTTGACATTTACGATAACAACGATGCCAGGGTGAAACTAAATTTAACTAAGTTTCGATCGTCTCTTCATTCTTGGAAACATGCTATAAATACATCCTGTATTATTATTTTTTTTGGTGGGGAGGATTGGAAACGTGCAAAGCTTTATTGCGCGTTGGTTGTGTGCTGCATCACAACTGCGTAGTGAATGAAACCCACCACCTAGATCAATTAGCTGAGCAGTTGCTTTCTTGGAGGGGATTGGTGAGATGATAAACAGTAATTTTCCTCGAAGCTTAAAGTAACGGGAAAAGGCATGTGGGAAACTTCACTCAGGCTGTAATCAGTGGCAGTGCTACAGAGAGAGAGACAGACAGACAGACAGAGGGGAGGGGGGGGGTGAGGGAATGTGACCCCCCCCCCCAAGTTGTTTCTTTACATATATAATGCACGGTTCTGCAAACAAAAACATCTATCGGAAGTCTTTTCAATTTTGCTTTACACTTTTGATCATGATTTTTGTTGAGGAAATATGGTGAATGATCCAAAGACAGAATGAAAATGTTGACAACATCTTTGTAACACAATGAGTACACAGTGTTAAACGTCGATAAAGGGCAAAACCTAATTTGATCTTTGTAGTATAATGTTATAAATTGCGTATTTATGTTAAAGGCATACTCGAATTCTATTATTCTAAGCTACTCCGTTATAACGTCTTTAATCTGGTTAAATTAAAATGTATTGAAAGGATTTGGAGTTGCATTCGAACATTAAGTAATTATCACAAATGGGCAGTAGTACGTAGGATTAGCTTAGGCAAACGGGTGCGGATGGTAGCTTTACGTTTATTGAAAAATATAAAGATCAATAACCTTTGAATATATTCATTGTAAAGCTGAATTGTGTGGTTCGTCATTCTGTGTTACCCTATCAACCCCAAGACAAATTTGATGACTCAGGCATTGGTTCTCACGATTTTGTACATGTAAGTTCACTATTGCACCAGAGACATTTTAAGCAAAGTTTCAGTGTATAGCGCCCTCACTAGACAATATCGTGAAAGGCCACTCTGGCAATGACACACTGCAATTTTAATGAACTACATACAATAAAGTAATAAAGTCAAGCTCTTTTCGGAACGTAAACTATTGAGTCTAAGGCAACTAGGCTGGACCAAATAAAATCAAGAAAAGGTATCCTTTGTTCAGGAGTGGTGGTGGTTCCTGATCGCTTACTTACTACGTTTGTTTTGTTTGCAAAAGGAATGAATTGCACAAATTTGAGGACATGAGTTTAGGCCCATAGTGAGTCGCCCAGCAGCGAGACGGTAATCACATAGTCCACATTTTCCAAATATGGTCATATTCGGTCAATATGGTCAATTATCGTTGATATAATTATATTTTAAGGGGAAAACGAGAACCTAAGTGTCTTGCAACGATTCACAGGAAAAACTGAACAATTATGGATGACTTTGGAACATCCCGCCTACGTAAAAAAAACCTTCGCGTACAGTAATGGGAGATCTTAGTGGCCGACCCCTTTGTGCCGCTGATCTCTTTGTGTCAACCTCTCGTGCCTCCCAGGGCTCAGACAGGTTTTAAACAATCCTGGACCATGTGAATGACCTATATCTTGTGCATGTCCAGGCATGCAAGGGTTATTGACCTATAAACAGTGTGGTAAAATAAAAACCTTCTTGTGGTTCCACCGCGTGATTTTTTTTGATAGTCTGCTCCGAGGTTTAAAGTTTAAATGAAGGCTTCCCCGTTTAATGTTGGGTTGCTGGTGTGTGCATTAGTCACTTCAACATTGAAAAGGTGGTGGGGGCCCGGGGGGGGGGGCTGCACCACAATCCAAACTACTCAGGTAAATGTTTATCACACACGGTGAAACTTCTCAAAACGTGGCATTACACACATTATTGCCCGAACAATACAGTGTTTTTACCGCAAAAAAATACAATCCAAATGACAGTCCACTTTTATGGAGAACAAAAAACAATACACTCGTTTTCCGAACGATAAACCTGAGAAATTATTGATGTCAAACAACATTGGCTTTTGACATTTCTTACAAATCATACGAGTCCTTTTTGTTGATGCCCACGCACAAAAGCAAAGCCACAAATGCCATCATTCCATGAACATTCATCGGAATCCAGGCAGGCTGAGGATTGGCTGCATCTGCATACAGCGGCGGCGGAACGGGTTTGAAACGGGGGGGGGGGGGGGGGGGGCATCACCAAAAAGGGGCACTTGCACACCTGTGCTGAAATGTCGACACGTTTTTTTCACCAGACACTTGGCCTCTGTAAAATTAAATAGGGGGGGGGGGGGGGGGGGGCTGGTCAAGGGCGGATCCAGAACACAATTTTTTTGGGGGGCCAAACAAATTTTTGGTCCCCCCAAAAAGTGGGTCAAAAAAATAACGGCATGGGGTTTCGGGGCCCGCTTAAGGACCCGAACAAAATTTGGATTCTAGATGCTCTGTGGTGCAATCTGAGGCAATTTCTGACCACTCTAACCAATGTTTTTTTAGGAAAAGATGGTGGTGTACTCATTGCCTGCCTTTATTGCGACGTCACATAAAAAATAAAAATAAATTGTTTTGTTGGGGTTTTTTTTTTGGGGGGGGGGGGGGCATGGCCCCCTTTGCCCTCCCCCCCCCCGGATCCGCCCTTGGGGCTGGTACCATCTTCCTACATAGGGGGCGCTCTTCAAACCAATGATAATATGCTAACTATACAAAATGTTTTTTTTTTCAATACAAGATGATGTCTCAAAACCGCCAAACTCACTGGTTTGACTGGAATCCTGCTGCTGCACAATTTTAACGTGTTTTTAGATGGGGTTATGACCAGGAATAAGCTTTATGTGGCCTGTTGAGACTCCCATATATTTGCACTAAGTTTAGTCGGGCACCATTTGCAGTGTACCTGTTTATTGGGATCAAGAGATGATTGTGACCTGAAGGAGAGACTACCGTGTTGGAGCGTTCCGCATGATTAATTATATTGTTACGTTTCTGCTTTCCTTACGATGTGACTCCCTGTTTTTTTTTAATTCATTGGGCGTTAGCCCTGCACCCATATCTTGTCCTTGATGAGCGAAGCGAACTCGGCACGCAACACACTATTTTGAATCTGACGACGTCGTGGTTACCAAGAAGTATTCCAAAACTCGGCGTCGTATCCATTTCGGCTTCACCTGCTATTTTGAAGATGCCTGCTAGATTAACATGAGTCAATGTTTTCTTATTGAAATATCAAACTGTATGATATTTGTAGTAAAAAGGTTTTTTTTAAAACTTGATCGTAACATTAAGAGCTTTTTATAATAAAACCAAACTGGAAACAAAGCCGATCTTTGAAAAGGAGCCATCATGTTTATTTTTAGTCCAATGACGGCTTCCAGACCTACAATATAGACACCATGGGTCGGAGAAATGTCAGAAATAGGAACCGTACTATACTGTTGCCAACAGCTATGTATGTCATGTAATATCGTATTTATAGCGACGTCAGGTGGTATATTCTGACCAATCAGAACAACGTAAAGCCCAGTTCATACTTCACGGGAAAGCAAGTGCGAAGCGAAATTCGTGTCGTCAACAATGGCGGACGCGCTTCGAACGTACTGTTGACGTCAGGAATTTTGCTTCGCTTTCGCGTGAAGTATGAACCGGGCTTTAGATCACACCCAAACGGCTGTGTACACGAATAGCAAGAACCATCTAGACAAAGCAGCTACATATAAAGAGATGGA